GTGGCCACCAGCCTCTGCATGCATGTGCACTTCCACACACACAGGCAAACAAAGCTAGCACCCTACACTAGCTCAGTTACCTGATTATTGGAAATGTACTCAAAAATTTGCTAGAAATGTTAAGTCTTTTACAACTGACTGGAGAGATAGAAGATCAGTAGATTAGTCCAGTGCAGGGGATAGGAGGGGTGGTGGCTGCCAGGGCCTGGGAGAGAGGAGCGTGGGGAGCTCATTAGTGGGTGCAAAGCTTCCGTGTGGGGCGGCAAGCACGTCCTGGGGCTGCTGCTGCATGTGGTGGCTGTGCAGCAATGTGAGCTGCTCGCTGCGCCCAGGCTGCCCACCTCACAGGCTTTCCATGCTTCTGTTGTACGTAGTCACCAGAGTGGAAGAACAGCAGCCTCAGAAAAGTCGTGTTGTTTTCAACTATTTTCAGTTGCCAAGTATCAAATGGTGCATCTTTCCTTTGAGACTCTGTAAGCAGAGCACTGAAATCACGTTGGACGCTCTGAGTGGTCTTTGACAGAAGAGTTGGGATGTCCTTGGTAGCGGCTGGGTGGGCCTGAGACATTAGGCAGAGCCAATACCACCCTGGCTCTTGAGCTTCTTTCTCCAGCACCCAGTTTTCCATTCAAGAGAAGGTGATTTTTTTAAAGTCTAGGGGTGAGAAAAGTGGGGTGGGGAAGGCATCAGGGTTGCTTCTGGAGTTCAGGCATGTCTTTCTCATCTTCACACTTCAACCACTTATATAACTCACTGGGACACCAGATGGTGAGCTGCTCCTTCCACTAAGAACCTAGGAGCACATGCGTTCTAGTTAACCACCGCTCTCTCCCTCCCTCGCTCTCTCCCTCTCTCTCTCTCTCTCTCTCTCTCTTACACACACACACACACACACACCACACACACACACACACATACACACAGAGCCATGGGTAGAGTTTGTCTGGGGCAGCCATTTGATTACTTTTGTTTTTTGAGAGACAAGAGTCTCACTCTACAGAGAGCCCAAGCTGGTTTAGGCGTAACCATAGCCCAGGTTGGAATGTGTTTTCACCTACGTGTGAGTGGAATTGCAGTCATGTTGCCGCTCTGTCCTTAACCTTTTGAGAAACTGCTAAATAGCTTTGCAGGGTGGACGTACCATAACTGTATCTTGCTTTGTCCGGGGATTACTCTTAGGCCACTGTTGCAGACTGAATTTATTGTTTATTTTCTACTGCATTTATCTTGCTTTGTGTGCTCCCAACTAGTGCTTGGAATGCAAGCACTAGGCACTGGATGGGTAGACTGTCAGTTACCCTTTCATAGTCTTCTCAAGAAAACCTCATGTCCTGGTAACCACTGGTAGGAAACTGCAGTGGGTGTTTTCAGTGTAACCATAGAGATTAGACAGCTTTGGGGGGTGGGAGTCTGACTAAGCTTGATAGCATTCTTCCTATGGGCTAGAGCTGGATAGTAATGTGAAAAACAAACAGGATAAAAGTTTGTGCTTAGGGTCTAAAGAAATGGCTCATCAGTTTAAGAGCATGTGTTGTTTTTTGGTTTGTTTATTTGTTTGTTTTCAATAAACGAGGTTCAGTTCCCAGCACCAACATGGTGGTTCACAACCATCTGAAACACAAGTTCCAGGGGATCTGGTGCCTTCTTCTGACCGCCACAGAACCTGGCCCACACATGATACATATACATATATGACAATGAAACACTCATATACATAAAACACAATTTAAAAATATTTTTAGGGGTTTTTTAAATTCGTACTTAATGGAGCAGAAGAAATGGCTCCATGGTAGAGAATGCTTGCTGCTCTTTCAGAGAACCTGAGTTTATTTCCAGCACCGACATCAGAGGTTCACACCATGTGTGACTCCAGCTCCCAGGACCCTGACTCCCTCTTGCAGCCTCACTCTCAGACAGCACATACTCATGCAGATTGTACGTGTCATTTTTACAGTTTTGAGAATAAACAGCAGGTCTAGCGAGGTGTCTCTGCAGGGAAGGATACTTGCTGGCACCCGAGTTTGATCCTTGATCTCTCGTGGTGGAATGAAAGAGTTGGCTGCTAGAAGTTGTGTGACTGTCACACATGCTCCTTCTCTGCACTAAATAAATAAAATGCAGTGAACTAAGAAATTTTTAAGCCGGGTGGTGGTGGCGCACGCTTTTAATCCCAGCACTTGGGAGGCAGAGACAGGTGGATTTCTGAGTTCGAGGCCAGCCTGGTCTACAAAGTGAGTCCCAGGACAGCCAGGGCTACACAGAGAAACCCTGTCTCGAAAAAAGAAAAAAAAAAAAGAAAAGAAATTTTTAAACAAAAAATAAGCAATAGCTGAGGGAATCACGGCAGTAAAGCACTCTCAGTGAATAAGACAGTCCCTGTGAGAAGAGCGAGGAGGTTACAGCATTTGCTACTTAAAGGGCTAACCCAGTGGGGCTGGCCAGCACTGGCAAAAGCAGTTTACTGAGTGCTAGTCTTGACTGGATTATTGTGGCAAATCCTAGGCTTGCAGATTCTAATACTGCTTAGTAAAGCATTGAACCATTATCCTTCAGAGAACTGAAATAACTCCTTACGTTTATCCCATGAGTCACCACAAGGCAGTCCAGAAAAGACAGCATCAAAATGGGATCTGCTGTGTTTAAATATTCACTCAGACTTGCCCAGCTTGAAAATTATTTTTGTAACAGAGAAAGTAAACAAGTCAGTAGTCAGCAGGTTTTAGATAAATACACATGTCCATCAACACAATTTTTCATGCTTTTCACGTTGCTAACTGTATTTGTGACTTAGTCACCCACTTATCAGCTTCCCCACCCACTATCCATTCATCAAACATCCAAGGAGTGCCTGGTATGAATGAGCTAAGACCCTCCTAGACCCTGAGGACAGGAAGAAAGGACCCAAGTCTGTTACTCCTAACCTAGCAGATAACCTCTGAGTCAGAGAGGTGTGGAAGAGAAAGAAAAGAAAGAAAGGGGCTTGATTTAGAGAAAACTCAAGAAACCGTTTGTGAGACTCATGTTGGAACTGGCCTTTTGAAAGGTATGGTGCTGAGCACTCAGTGGTTAGAGACAGGTCCCACCTCCCCCTGGAAAGCCATGGAGAAACTGGCCAGCTGAGATTAACATCATCAGATCTGTCCTCATCTGTCCCTCCCTCAATAACACAAACACTTTATACAGCAATACTGCGTGTTTCTCATAGAATTAAGTCATAGCAGCAGAAGAGGCCCCTGTTCAGGAATCCATAACAAAGTATCTCAGCTTTAGAACAGTGGTATGGGAGAGATTGAACTCCTGGGGAGCCACTCAGACTGTCAGAGTCTGATAAGGGATAGAGCTGCCCCCCACACCCAAAAGGGGCCATCTGCCTAGACCCTACCCAAGGCCAGGGGCAAGAGGAGCTGACAGACTCAGAGCCAGGTTATTACCCAGAAGGCTATGTGAAGGTGGAGGGAAGGCAGACACCAACTGTAACTCTGGCTACTGATTTAAATCCAAAAGCAGAATGGAACAGTCAAGGGTAGCATTGAACTGTCTAGCATATTCCCTGTGAAGTGAAGCAAATCTGACACTCAAGTATAGAGATGGGTTTTCAGCTTATGAACTCCGCAGAGCCTATGTCTTCTTGGTGGTATCCCGTGGACAAATGGAGACCTAAGGCTGGGCTTGTGGTATGTGTTGATTTGAGAGATGCTAGCCCTTTTGTGTGATATGAAAGGCTACAATGTGATGAGGATATGTTTGGTAAGAAATAGAATCCCAGGGAACACATGTTTGTTGAGTCAGATAAAAGCCATGTATCTGTTTAGTTAAGCGTGCTGAGAGATTGAAGCATCACAGTTTTAGGCTACTTAAACTGATCACCTTCACTGGAGCTTTTGAAGCACCATTTGCAAACTAGCAATATTGAGAGTATTTGTAACTTTCATAGGAAAGGCAACATTCTGTGAGTTACTTAAAAGATTTACTTATTCAGTGTGTATGTATATGCGCTTACCTGAATTGATGTACATGATGTATATGCAGACACCCATGGGGGCTAGAGTGTGTCAGGCACCCTGGAACAGGATGTTTAGACAGATGTGAGCTGCTGGTGTGAGTGCTGGGAGTCAGACTTGGTCCTCTGCAAGGACAGAAAATGTTATTAACCAGTGAGCCCCCAAAGTTGGTTATAGGAGTACCTAATATTAAAATTTTAAGCACTAAAGCACTGTTCATACTTTATATTTGGATTCCATTTGCCATGTGACTAGCTTCTGCTCTGAGGAGCGCTGAGGTACATTGCCTCCTGCTCTTCAGCTTGCCCTCCCCTCCAGAGGGATTAAAAAAACTAGTTGAGGGGTGATTTTTAATTAAATGTTGCTAATTAAATTATAAAGTATGTGTGTATTTTAAGCCTCAAAGAAGTAAGTCATTCTCCTTTCCTGGGGCAGCTAATAAATATCTCATTTGATTTTTTTTCCCTTGTAGTTTATGCCCATTTTCTTTTTTATATTAAGGTATCCTTACTAATCGTTTAGGCTTTTCCCTTTATGCTCTACTCTGGATAGCTTGGGTGTTTCAGCTTCTAATCTTAATTCCTGTGTTTTCTCTTTTTAGTCACCATAATGTTTTTATTAACTTGTCCTGATTACATTTTTTCCCCTGAAATATGTAATCATACCAACTAAAAAGTGTCATGTGTCGTCATCTTCCATACCCAGACCTGAGACCTGGAGTCGGGAGATAAGGAGGGCCTGAAGTAAGAAGGGAAGTCCGTCCCCTACCTGCCTGCTTCCCTGCACCCTGTCATGGTGCTTTCTGTGTCTGTCCTGCATATTCTCTCTGACCAGTCACACTCACGCAGCAGACTATGACCTGCCGGGTGGCAGCCACACACTGGTGTTCAAAGGGAGGGGAGGGAGCTTGCTTTAATGTAGAAGTCTGCGCACCATCCCCAGCCGTCTCTGATCTTCTGCCATGCCTGGTCCTCAAACTCAGCTTGTCTCTCTGAGCAGCCTAGACAGAACAAGTTTTTACAGGCACAGGAGGAGAGAACATTGGGAGAAAGGCAGTTATGTGCCCTAGTGTGGAGGAAGTCAGGGCATTCTTAAAGAGTAGTAATTTCACACAATTGACTTGAAAAGTCTTTTACTTCCCAAATTAAGGTTCTCTGTGGCGCACTTTGTCTCAGTGGCTCCATAGTTCAGAATTCCTGTTAACTTTGAAGCTCGCCGTTTGGAGCTGTAAAAAGAGTGGCTGTGAACAGGCTGAGGCATCTGCCTCGGTGGACAGTTTGCTGCACTGCAGTCAACTTGTGCCTCACTTTTGAGTTATTTAAAACATTGCAACTGGATTTTAATTCCTTCCAGTTTGTCATGTGAAAGCTTGTCACTAGGAACATTTGATGGACTTGTCTCCTGAGGAGATGTATATAAATCCGTGGTCTCACACACACCTGAAAAGCAAGCTTCCTCCGGGAACCCTGGTTTTAGACTTGATCCACATATGGCCTGGGGCAAGTCATTTAACATTTACCTCCCTTTTGCCATCTATAAAGGATAAATACTTCTGTCTCAGGGATGTTGAAAGGATTAATTAGTTAGTCTGTAAAGAACTTTGAAGATGAAAAGTGCTTTAAAAGTGCTTCTTAATAACATTATCGCCTAGAAAAGAGCGCCACTTTTCTGCTAACCACTTACGCCTCAGACTCTGTAACGAAGGTGTGCTTAGCACACACGCTACAGGTAGCTATAAAGTGAAGTGAACTTCTCATGGTGTGAACATCAAACATTGGCTTCAAAATCTCCCTCAAGAGCAGGGATCCACTCATAATTAGTCACAGAGATCATCCCAGGAGACAGAGGACAGAGGACGTCTCTCACAGTTGGCCCTGTTCCTTGTTCTATCAGAGTTTTAGTAGGGACTTTTAAGAGGTCCTCAGTAGGGTCCCTCAAGGGAAGGTGGGAGATGGAGGGGGCCTCGAGCTTTGTTTTGTTTCTGTGCATTTACTTGGTTTGAAGAGGAGGAAAGAGAACTGCAAAGGAAACAGCACTCTTCCTTTCTGGTTCCCTCTCCTGTGCTCTGGAGCAGGCAGATCCTTACTGCATGTAGCTGGGTTTGTTTCAGTTTTTCCACTCCAAAGCATCTTAGTGGGGATGGGGGTCTCGATGTTCTGATTTATGATAAAGCATTTTGGTAATGTGCAGGTAAATTTTATATATCACTGCTGTTGGGGTTTGAATGTAATATTGGTCCCGGAGAGTTGGACATGGTGCATTCCTGTAATCCACACACACACACACACACACACACACACACACACACACACACACACACACGTGCGCTTTCCCCAGCCAGCATTGGAGAACACATAAGGATTTTTCATTATAAAGAAGAAAATGACAGATCAACCCACAGTTACAGAGCTATCCATTGTATAAAGAGACTAGGATAGTGTGGAAAACCTCATCAAGAAGTGAATGGAGATTCTGTTCTGGAATGAAGTGTTAATGCTTAAGATACCAGCAGATAGCTCAATGGAAAGAAGTCAGGTGGTACAGAGGGATTTGTGTTCAGTTGTCCATGTAGAAGATGGGGATTGACTAAGGCTGATGAAGAAAAACCAGAACTGTCCGGGACTCTCTGTGACCAGGAACTCAGCTTGCACCCAGTTCCTTGTAGGAGGTGAACGAGGGCCCACATGTCCACCCACCTTGCTGGTTTAAATGCAGAGTGACCTAGAATCACCATCGCTGCAGACTATCCCAGGACACCACAGGCCAGAAACATTGCTGCTTACATTTTAGCTTCAGAAACACAATCCAGTGAGCTAAGTGGCAGCCATTGAGATTGAGGTCCTTAACTATTGAATTAATTAGTGGTTTTGTCTGCCACTGTTTTTACAGTGTGCTTATGGAAAATGACAGTTTGAGGACAGCCGACTCTGGGCTCTGTTAGATGAATGTTACTGTTTACCATGTGCATGCAAGACTTGTTCATGTGATCAGTCCTAATTAAACCTATTCCAAATAGTCAATCAAAGCATGTTAATGAATATGTCGTTCTTTTACCTCCTACAGCAAAACTCTGGAAGATCGTTTGAAACTTGAAGCAAAACATGGAACATTGAATGTATCGGACACCACTGTTGGCAGCAAGCAGTTGACATTTACTCTCAAGAGGGTAAGTAGTTTCATGACTTTATTTTTAATTCACACAGAAAAGCTCTAGGTATGTGTATGGCTTTGGGGCCACTCTCCCAAGCTTCTCTCACTGAGGAAGCTGTGTTCCCTACTCCAGTGCTTTCCTATACCAGAGTCCCAGCTGGATAACAGCTACAGAAGAGCATTCATGGGGGAAAGGCCTCATGCTGGCCTCTGCTTGATCACCTATGTTCTTCTAAGTCTCTGGCCCATTGTGCAGCCTAGCTACACAAGAGCTCTGGCTGAAGGAGATAGACACACCCAGTACTTACCTAGAAAGGACTATGAAGTGACTAGTTGTGTGATGGTCCCATCTGGCTTGCCCAGATACAGGCATTTCCCAAAGTGATTTCTCAGTCAGTGATAATCTGTTTTAAATCGTCTTGAAGATCCTTTTCTTTTCTTTCTCTTTCTCTGCCCTCTCTTTCTCCTTCCTTCCTTCCTTCCTTCCTTCCTTCCTTCCTTCCTTCCTTCCTTCCTTCCTTTCTGGGGTTTCTTTTTGGTTTGTTTGTTTGTTTGTTTGTTTGTTTGTTTTTTCAAGACAGGGTTTCTCTGTGTAGCCCTGGCTGTCCTGGAACTCACTCTGTAGACCAGGCCAGGCTCGAACTCAGAAATCTACCTGCCTCTGCCTCCCAAGTGCTGGGATTAAAGGCGTGCACCACCACCGCCCGGCCAAGGACCCATTTCTTAAACATGCTGTAGTGCTAATGCCTTTTGCACATTGTGGGAGGACTGAATTGCTTAAGTATCTTCCATTAGCTAACAACTAAAACAACATGGTCTCTTTTCTTAAAAAGATAATTTTCTCCGTCTTGGTCAGATTCTTCAACAAAGTCATCAAGTAAAAAGGGCATCTGCAAAGGTGACTGCCTTCCCCCTGTGGCTCCTTCTCTAAATTGACATGTCACTTACATGCCATAACGTTCCCTGAGGTTTTCTTTTTAACAGTACACACAGGAGGAGCTGTGTGTTTCACACAGGAGCACACACTTTGTAGTGGAGTTCTTGCAGTTTTCCAAAATTCTGCCAGTCTGTAATCTAGTCTTTTAAATAGATCAAAATTTTTAAGCTAAAACTACTTTGTGTTAGGCTTTTTTTTTTCCCCAAAACCAAATGAGCATAGTATGACTTGTTAACACAAGGCTTATTGTGTAACAGAGCATATTGTTAACTTTATTGTCTGAAAGAGACAAGTTTGTGTCACCTTTGAAACAGGATCCATCTCTAGGAATAGACCTATCTACGGTTTTTCTGTGTGGCTCTGTCCAACAGACTGTAGGTGAGCACTGTTCTTGTTCATAGCCCCTTGTAGCCTAGAGCACAGGTGAGACAGGCAGGAGCCCTGAGCCATCTGAGCTGCTCACTCACTGGTCAGTTCTTGCAGTGAATTGGAAAACTCAACAGAAAAGGACATGCGCACTCCCTCAGCTACTCCCTCATGCTCTCTCTTTTCGTTCTTTCTCATTCTCGTGCTTACCATCGGTCCTCCAGGGCCGTGCATGCAGGTAACACTCTGCAGCTGAGCTCCATCCCCACACTGAACAAGCCAACCAGTGCTGTCTATATGTTCGCTAGATCTATAGCTGTTCCACTGGAAGCCTTTGTGTCAGAGCTGGGGAGATTGCTCAGTGGGAGGATGCTGGTCACAGGCCCCGAATCTGGCAGTGAGAAGACACAGTCATTTCCACCCCACAGAACTTTTAAGTCGGGCACAAAGTTGAATATCCCTTTGTAGATTTGTGGTAAAATGAAAAGATGAGGTGATACCCTGAGACTTGCTTGAAGTGACATCAGAGCTGAGTCAAGTGGAGGCTTCGAAACCCTTCGGGAGGATATGCTATGTCAACTAATGTTTGATTTGTGAGGTTTATTACTTGATTGGCATGCTCTTAACTATTTAGTATTTCAGTGTTAAATATATATTTAGAGACATGTTTGTATATTTGTTTATAGGCATCTCTTTTTGTTCTATGTTTATTGTATATGATACATTGAGGCAGAATCATGGAGTTGCCCAGTGTGTCCATAGGTGCTTTCTGCAGTGCCAGTAGAATACATGGGAAGCTATGTATACTAATACTTGAATCAGAGCTGTTGCTTATGTCACCACAGCTAGTGTCTGCCCTCTCCCCTTCCCCACGAGGGCTGTAGGCTGCAGCTGTACAGGAACAAGGAGAAAGAGGAAAGCTGACTTGGAAAAGAGCTAATTGCCCCGTAAATCTTGATGAGTGGGTGACACAGTGGCATGGTCTCCCAGTGCAGCCTTGGGGAGAGAGGCTAATGATAGACCTTGTGTGTGGGGAGCTTTGTCTGTGAACAATAGAGGCCTCTTCCTAGCTCTTCTGGCAGCTCTTGCTCTGGAAAAGGCTGCCCAGAGCTGCCCACAGTCCTGCTTTATACTGTAACAACAGGGCCACACTCACACATGAAGACTCCAGAAATCCTTACAGCCCCAATGAGTTGTCTAATCAGGAGTAGGTCATAATGCATTTTGATATGTGTGTGATAAAATGCATGTTTGATATGTATTTTATAAAATGCAATCTTTTTTGTTTGCCTTTAAGTCTATGTGAATGAACGCACGGTTTTCAATGTGCAAGCAGAAGTAGGCATGAGTCCACTTAGAGCATTCCAGGGGGCTCTGACTTTGTGGTCGGGCTGGTGTGGGCAGTTCTCCTTTGCCCAGGGATTCAGAATTTCTCCTTTGACAGTGAAAATTGTTCTTTGTCCGACTGCTGCTGCCAGGGCAGGCTGTTACCCAGCAGTTAGAACATGATGCTGAGCTGCACAGGACTCTGAGACTGCGGCCCTTTGCTCCACCCTGAGGGTTAGAGCAAACCCTTTCATCTACTCACTTCACTTTCTTTTAGTCTGAACAGCAAAAGAAGCAACAAGAGGCCGAAAAGCTACATCGCCAAGAGAGGAAAAAGCTGCGTAGATCTGCCAGCCACCTGAGGTCCAGACCCAGAAGAGGCCGGCCCTTTCACTGACCAAAGACATGTGGCTACGAGCAACTAGGAAGCTGTGCTTCTCCCCCGGGTTCTCACAAGGGCACCGTTCCCAGGCAAGGGGATGTGGCAGTTAAAGCTCCATGTGGACATGTGTCATGGTGCTGCTGGTCTGACTGGCCCACTACCCGGCTCAAGGAGTCCCTGCCCCCTTAAATATTGTCTTCTCCCCTGCTGTTGATCAGGGAAAGCAGGCATCATTTCCAATATTGGAAAGGTCTACATGAAATGAAAAGTTTATCCTCTGCTGAAAACAAGAGATTATCATGTTGTAAAAATGGTTTGGGTTTTAGATTTTGTTTGTTTGGGAGGGGGTTGTTTGTTTGTTTGTTTGAGACTTGAGACAGTGTTTCTCTGTGTAGCCCTGGAGTTCCTGGAATTCCATCTGTGGCCTTGAACTCCTAGAGATCCACTTGCCTCTGACTCCTGAGTGCTGAAGTTAAAGATATGCACCACCATGCCCAGTGAGAGTGTCTGTTCTCACTGTCTTCTGCTCCTCGGGACTGAGTCACACGGATTCCTGCCCTTATTTACCTGGAATCTGCTGATTGGCCCTGTTTATGTGCACGACTATGTTGGCAAGCTTACTTGCTTGCTTTTATATTCCTTTGGCATACTTTTTAAACTATTTTTATATCAAGAGTATAAATTAATGGTAATAAATAATAAGTGAATGCTACTGGCTATTTGTTTTAGCTTGTCACAAAATTATGTCGTTTTCTGATGAAGAACTATTTGATACAGGCAACGTCTATAAAAGGAGATACTTGTATTTGGACAGTTTCTCTGAGGAGGACTCCTGCCTGCAGAAATCTTAAAATTCACTTCAGCTTCTGTACTTTGGAGTTTCTCGTGTAAACAAATGGAATGGGAACTCTTTGATCTGTACCTGCGGTGAGTCCACAAGGCAGGACACATTAGTTAGCAGTCAGTGTTGTGGACTTGGCCACTATCTCCCTCTTTCAGTGTGGCCCCTTGTCTCTTCGGCTTGTGATGTGTACTCAAGAGCTTTCTGACTGTTACTGTTGGTGCATGAATCTACACACACACACACACACACACACACACACACACATATACATATACACACACACTCCTACCTATTAACTCTTAAGAAGATCCCTCCTGGGGCTGAGTCCCTGGTGCCCTCTCTTTCCTTTCTCAAAGTTTCCCATTTTAAAATTGCCGTACATGCTGGGTATCCTCCTCTGTCGTTTTCCTGTGTTTGTATTAGTTGCTTTTGTACAGTTATCACCAAAATACTCAGTATGGACTTAAGGGATCATCTTAGCTCTTGGTTTCAGAGGGTGTTGGTATATACAGAAGCTGTTCACATCACTACAGGCCAGGAAATGAAATCCCAGCCATGGCCTTAAAGGGTTTGCCTGAGCAACCTGTGACTGATGTCTGCCAGCTAGTCCCCACATCCAAGAACACCCCCACACCTCCCAACTACTATCTGGGGACAGATGTTTAAGTTAGAGGCCTATGGAAGACATTTTAGGTTTAAACTCTAACCCATGATAGTCAGTCACCTGCTGGTGACTAACGCCTATGATGTGGCTGGCATTGTTCCTCCCAGTCCTGCCAACAGCTGTCCTTCTTGGTGAGACTTACAAGCTGGTGTGAGAAGTGTATCCCCAGAGCTGGGCACCAGGCCCCGGAGAACTGGGGTTCTTCAGTGATGTGTTCTCTTCTGCTCCAGATCCCTCTCAAAGCTTCAGCATCCCAGACCCAATACCTAAATCTTTTGTTTCAAGCAGTTTCATCAATAACCTTTGGAAGAAAGAGGCGTGCTGGGAGAGAAGGGATTGATACGAGGCAGCCAGCAGAAAATACAGGCCCAGGGCTAAGGGACTCAGAAGGGCTTCTGGGAAGAAAATTGAGTTCAGATCCTTTTCTCAGAATCCTCCAGTGGCTCTCTTCTCATTCTGTAACATCCTGAGTCCCAGAAGGACCCTTGCCTGGCACAGACTTCTTTTGTTTGCTGTCACCACACTGACCTTCCTCTTTCTAGAACATTCCAGGCATTCTCTCAGCCTTTACACATTCCTTTCCCTCAGCTCCAAACGCTCCCCTAGGCCTCTCAGGTTACTTTCTCTCCCCATCTGGTCAGTTCTGCCCCATTTAAATCATCGTATCCTGGTGCCAGCATGCCAAGTTTACAAATGATACTCTATCTAAATATGCTTTCAAAACGTTACCATGGGGGCCACAGAGACTTCCTGAGTGGAAGAAGAAAAACAAGTATGGTAAATCATATCTGACCTATACATGCTCACTTAAACATGCACACGCATGTGCACACACACAAATAAGTATAATATAAATTTAGAACCTTACTATGGAAAATGCCAGATATACGAGAATGGATAGAGAATGGTTGAATGAACCAGCATGTCCCAGCAGCATGCAACTTGCTCACTGTGAATGTTCTCAGCTAACTTGTCCAGTGTTGGCTCCTGTTTCCAGAATGTCAACTCAGTAAGAGTTGGGGAGGATGTTTTAATCAGTATTTTTGTTTGTGACTGTGTATCTAATCTCTAGAACAGTGTCTGCCACATCATATATATTTACTTAAGCCGTTATGGGGTGCCCACCAGAGAACATTCAAATGTAGTTCACAGCCAAACGAAAGTCTTTTTTCCCAGCCAATGGTGACTACACTCAGGTATTTGGGACCAGCGTAGCACCAAGCTTTTAGCATAAGGGGTTTTGAAGGCAAAACCACATCCTGGTATCTCGCTTGGCAGCAGCAGGGAAAGATCTGTACAAGCAAGCAGTTTAATAGAAGCCAAGATAAATTAGCTGGAGCATCTTGACCTCTTAGAGTTGGGTAATTATTTTCCACGGGATTCTCCATCAAGGAGATCAAATTCTGGTTAAATCTAAAGTGGCCTCAGCAAGAATACAATATGGAGGAACCCTGTGTTGTCTTGCCCTGTCACAAATGACTGAGTCAGATGGAACTGAACAATAAATGTCTACTTAATGTTGGACCTTAATCTTTATGCCTGAGGAGTCATTCCCACCTGAGCTTTCAGAGAGGGTAGGATGCAAAGAGATGAATTTGAAAAGGTTGGCAGAGGAACGGGGAAAAGGACATTGAAAATATCCATTATCAATAAATAACCCTGGGGAGAGATTGTAACATAAGGAAACAGAAAATGGGATGTATTCGGTCAAGAGAGCATAGGAGAGGTGTCAGTGTGTCAGTGAGGGACTGGCTGGTGAGAGGTCTCCAGAGGTGAAAGTGCTTGCTGCCAGCCTCATGACCTCAAGTTCAGGCTCTGAAACCCACATGGTAGAAAGAATTGACTCCCGTAAGATGTCCACTGTGTGTGTCTCTCTGTCTGTGTGTTTCTATATGTGTCTGTGTGTGCGTATGTGTGTGTGTGTGTGCATGTGTATGCTTCCACATATGCACACAACTCAAATAAATGTTAAAAACTTTTTTCAAAGAAGAAAACATGACATTAAAGAAGTCAGTTCCTGGGCTGGTATCTTTAAATGGACGGCGTGCTGCATAGTTTTCTGTCAACTTATCACTGCTAGAGTCATTTTTGGGTTTTTTGGTGGTGGTGGTGGTGGTGGTGGGTTTTTTTGTTTGTTTGTTTGTTTTTTTGGTTTTTCGAGACAGGGTTTCTCTGTATAGCCCTGGCTGTCCTGGAACTCACTCTGTAGACCAGGCTGGCCTCAAACTCAGAAATCCACCTGCCTCTGCCTCCCAAGTGCTGGGATTAAAGGTGTGCACCACCACCACCTGGCTAGAGTCATTTTCAAAGAGAGAACCTCAAGTGAGAAAGTGTCCAACAATGGCCAGTGAGCGGGCTTCCAGAGAGGCATGGGAGTTGCAGGAAGGTGGAGGCCTGCTGTGCTCCTGGGCTTCCTGACTAGTGAGGTGCCCCCAACACCCTCTGCTCACACACACACACACACACACACACACACACACACACACACACGTCATATGGAAGAGGAAGTTCTCATTCTTTGATGATCCTTGCTCCCAGCCCAACCCAAATAGGACTTCAAAGCTGACAGGTGGGAAGGAGTCCAGCTATATACTTTAAGTAGCCTTGAGTTTCTTTTAGATGTAGGACAGAATGATGAATCCTAGACTCAGGATTTGAGGGGGTTTCAAATCCAGCTGGCCGGAACACCTCCCCAGTTGGATTTCCCTATCCGGCCTCCCTCAGTTCACTGCCCGGTTTCTGCTTGCACACCTGGCTGACCCGGGAACAGCCTTCTCTTCCTCTAACCCTTCTCAAGTTCTGCAGAATGAGTGGAACTTTGGAGTCTCCGCCCCAGGGCCCCAGTCCTGCCTCCCAGTGACCACTGCTCCTGTTGGAGCCCCGCTGTGTCCCTCCAGTCTCGCCAAGCTCCCCTTGCCTGGTCCTCGCCTCTTAATGAGACTTTCTCTTCTGGACTTTGTGCCCAATCCCTGAAATTCCTTTTCACATGTACTCAGACAGTCTCTGGGATCCCTTCCCCAGCCTTCATCCTTCATCTGTCTTCTTCTCTTCCTCCTCCTCCTCCGTATCATGTTCCTCTGGTCCCTCATACTGGCCCCCCCCACCCCCGTTGTCCTTTCTTCCTCCTCAGGCCCAACAGCAAAGCCATGGTTTGTTCAGTTGATTCATTGACTGTTCCTTATAAGTAACTAAGCAGATGCCCTACTCTGGTGCAGCTTCTGTTTTCACCAGAAGGCAGAAGAGTCACAAGAATACAGGCAATATAGCCAGGCAGTGGTCCCAGCACTCAGGAGCCAAAGGCAAGAGGATCCCTGAGCTCAAGGACAGCCTGCTCTACTAGAGTGAGTTCCAGGACAGTCACGACTATACAGAGAAACCAAACAACAAAAAAGTTTCGGGCTGGTGAGGTTAGTTAGCTTAGATGGTTAAGAACACTTGCTGTTCCAGAAGTCCCAGGTTCTACTCCCAGCACCTACCAGAGTTGGAGGAGGAGGAAGAGGAGGAGGAGACGACAGACAGTACAATTCGTCGTGTGGAATAAGGCTGAATGAAATCAGAATAGGCCCCAGATCGTGCAGCAGAAGCCCCAGCAGCAGAAGCCCCGGGAAGACCTATAAAACAGTTCTGAAGCCGTAAAACCTAACCTGGGACTCCCAGAGCTATGGCACAGACTCCAAGGTGAACTTTGCTGTGGTGTTCAGGGACGGCAGAGCCTTGGCCACTGTGACTGGCACAGGACAGAGGACTTAGACTAGAACAGGTGTGGCTTGATGTCAGCTATGTGTCCCCTAGGACATCAGGATGGCTGATGCCTTCGGTCTTAGGTCATGTCACCCTCACAGGTGGGTGTGCCCTCTGCAGATCTTCACATTTCTGTGGTCCCACGGCCACGGCTCCTGCTT